TGGTTCATCAAACAGACACGTTTTCATTACACAAAATAACATGAAAGTTTATTTTGATTCACAGTATAAACTGCCTTGTGCTGTAAATTAACGTTTACATCTCAGTTTATTTTGCAATCTCAGGACGGCGTCCAAAATGGCCACAAATTAAAAGTATGTCGTTGCGGAAATATTAAAGTATATTTAAGAAAACTTTAAATTTATTTATAGTAGCAGTTTCTTTCATAAAATAACATGACTGGTACCTGACAAACGTAAAAATCATGAAGATTTACGGCATGAAAACCAAAATTTACTGCAAGGCATTAACTGATGTGCAAAAAGGCTTGATGTAACCGTCACGTAACTTTATTCAATTTATGTTAGTTTTATTTCTTACTTACTTGTTACAAGTCATTTCGGTAGAAATTGAAATACACTGAGATGACATTATTTGCATTTTATTACACCCCATCATATTTAATATAGGGTTCAATATAGCACCAAAAGTTATCTACTAAATCACTGTCAGGATATTTTTCGAATTTGTAAGTTAAGAAATATAGTAGTTTGTTATATAGTCACAATAGATATTTAAAGTAGTAAAATGAATAAAACATTTACCACTTAAACATCAAACACATATTTTTATTACTGCTACATCAGCATTTAAATGACACTTAGAAATACTGATGTACGAGGGATGTCCGGAAAGTTCATATACATCTTCATTTTTCATTGTAAAACAATACATACGCTGTACAAATTTTGTCAGCATAAATATACATATCTTGCGAACACAATTATCAAAAATTACTGAACTGTGACTTACGTTTGTATTTTAAAAGTATTTACATACCACATATATACATAATCATGGAGCACTTTGACAACGTCAAAGGCGTCAAATTAAATTCATGTTTACCAACTATTTAATTTCTTCCGATTTCATAGCCATGGTACCTGTCTGACGTATACTTAATACACGTTATGTTCCTTTGTTTTTACTTCATGAATTTCATATTTAAAATTATTATTTAAAAATAAAGATTTCACTGGTTCCCATACTGTGTATGAGATGTCTGCCTTTTTCAAAAAATATTGTAACGCAATCTACAATATTTCGACCATGCTACTTTTGGTCGTCTGGAGCGCTCTCATACCTAATTCTGTCATCACCGCTTCTTAATCTTGTTTGACATTTAAACGCAAGTTACCTTTAACATTTTATGTTTGATTTTGTTTTTAAAGTAAATATTAAAATCTCAGTTGGCGCCATATTAGCGTTGCTATGAAGTTAAATACCATAACGTTGCTCCGTCCTTAAATTTGACGTCATTTTTGCAACACAAAATTTACGCACCTTCATTGACTATAATCGCCGCTAACAAGCTGTTTATTTACTAATGACGTCATAATTTACACTAAATATCATGTAATAGTATCCTATGATGTCACAAAATTAAAACAAGAGATTGCGTTAAAATTACAACTTTTAGCAACTTATTATTCGAGTAGCTATCATGATGAAATCAAAGTGCTCCGTGATTCGTTGATCATGTTGCCATGGTGATCGGCACTTCGCGAATATTACTTTTATCATGCCTTTTGATTTAGAAATATGTAGAAGATAAATACTCTAGCAAAATATTCAATTATCATATTGATATGACTGCTTATAATAATTGTATAGCCTTGTGTACGAACTTTCCGGACAGCCCTCGTATATATTTATCAACCGTCATCTTGAACTCAACCTCAAATATTTCAGTGTCGCAGATCCAAATAAGTCAGTACTCAGAATTTAATTAGTAAATTAGAAAACCAAAATTAAAAGTCACAGTCGGGTTAAATAATTAATATGCTAATCTTGCTCATACATTTCAATAAGGAAATACTGATATATTTCAAAGTAGACCTATTATTAGTACTGACTACAATGGTAAGCTGGTAAATGTCAGTTCTTTGAAGCTCAACGTCTATTGACGTCAACAAATATATAGCGTTTTACTAACACTTATTTTATTAGCAAAATATCTTACGCGTTGAAATATTATAGCAAAATTCATCGTGTTAAATTGTTTTTATTTCACAATATTTATTGCGATATCGCGCGGTATTCGCGCCAGATATGGACATCAAAACGTACGAAAAATAACGTAGAATCGCAGACTATTAAGCAACTGTTAAAGAAATACATCATTACAAAGACATACATTTATTGAACATTATAAAATTAAAACGAAGGAAATCGGATGAAAATTGAGACCGGTTTACTGATAAAAAGACGCAATTTCGCCGCCACAGCTAGAGGGCGCTTTGACGTCATAGTAACGCTGTTTATTCATAAAATAATACTGCGAAAGTAAAGCATACATTAATACATGTTTGCTTACCAAAAATCACCAAGATCTGAGATGTTGTCAAATTTCGATCGGAAAGTAGCGAGCTACCTTAACAATTGATCCAAGTTTCATAAAAATCCTTCAAAGCTTTAAGCATTTTTTTTCTAAACCAGTGGGATTATGAGGAACTATTTAGATCTTTTATTGTGCATTATTGTAATACACCAGTCATTTTTAACCACCTCCATCGCCCCGGGAGAGTGCGGGTTAAAAAAGAATAGTGTTTTGACGTTTGCGCTGTTCCGGGGCATAAGGCAGGGATGTTATTATCTGAGTATTCCCTGCAGGGCGAATATTGTACAAGAGGTCGGTTTGGTTTAATGTCCCCCGCTATTCTCAGGGTGTGGGGTTGAGTGGTGCATATTCATGGAATAATAACTTATCACCAATCAACAGCCCTTTCCAAATAGACACTAATATAATAGTATATAATACTATAATAATAATAATGAAAAATAATTATGTAAAATACATAATTATAATTTAAAAAGTGGGCCGAAAAGGGTCGGCCTTTCGCTCGAAACCAGGCTTGCCCGGCCGAAAACGATTAGGCCAATTCCAAAATAGGGCCGAAATGAGACCAAACCATTGTGCTACTATTGTGACCGTTTTTTATTCTCAACTATGGGCTGTTATGAGATGTAAAGGCTATTTTGATTGGCTAAAATATGTACGAAAGACAAAAATAAAATATGTACGAAAAAACAAAAAATAATATATGAATGCAAAACTAAAAAAATATGTATGCAAAACTTTAAAAAAAAATATGTTATCAAAACAAAACAAAAATATGTATGCAAAACTAAAAAAAATATGTTATCAAAACTAAAATAAAATATGTATGCAAAACTAAAAAAATATGTATGCAAAACTAAAAAAATATGTACGCAAAACAAACAAAACAAGAGCTGTCGGTAGGACAGCACGCTCGACTATTCTAAGTGCTTGATACTAAAAGAGCCTTGATAACGTAAAATTTAGAGCTTTGATAATGTTAAATTTTCTAAGTTCACAAAAGGGCTATTTTTTTTAAATAAATTTATGTTGTAGGCCTTAGAGACAGTCTAATTATACAGTATTGGCTTGACTATTCGGAAGGTAATGTCACAAGGGTGTTTTATGGAGTATAATAATACTAATTACCTATGAATACATAAAATTGACAGAAAAGGTACAAAGGCTTGTTATTAAGATGTTTTATCAAGTAAATCACTGCTTTATTATTATGAATGCATATAATTGTCCCAAAAAAAGGCACAAACCCTTCAGTAATTATAGAGATAACAGCTTACAAGCAAAACCTTACCATGAATTTCTAAGTTGAAAAAGGGGAGAAAAATCAGCCTAAATGCGAGATAGAATTATGGATCTTTGTCAGTGACCTACAGTTATGACCCTAAATGCATATGTGAAGTTTTAAATAAATATCTTTAATAGTTATTGAGATATGTAAAACTTGCATGTAAACATTAACCAAGAGACTAAGTAGAAAAGGGGATATGAATCAGCCTTAATGCAGGATAGAGTTATGGAACTTGGTCAGTGACATACAATTATGACCCTCAAATTATGACCCTAAGTACATGTGTAAAGTTTCAAGTAAATATCTTTGAAGACCTTTAACCTTTAACCAAAATTTTCTAAGTTTCAAATTTAAGGGGCAAATAGTTCTGCAAATATTGCAGGCAGAGTTATGCAATTTTGCAAACTGATTTACATTGTTACTATAAAAAAGTATTTTAAATTTCAATTGAATATCTCAAGCAATAATTGAGATATTTGACTTTACAAAAAAAAACTTTAACCAAAATTTCTAAGTTAAAAAGGGGCATAATTCTGTCAATATTGTAGGCAGAGTTATCCAACTTGTCAATCTGATGTACCTTGTTACTATAAATAAGTATTGTAAGTTTCAATTGAATATCTCAAGAAATAATTGAGATATTTGACTTTACAAAAAACTTTAACTAACGCAGACGCCGACGCGGACGCTGACGCCGACGCCGGGGCGACTACAATAGCTCTCATATTCTTCGAATAGTCGAGCTAAAAATATGTATTCAAACCTAAAATAAAATATGTAAGCAAAACTAAAAAAAAGGATATGCAAAACAAAGAAAATATGTATTCAAAACAAAAATAAAATATGTATGCAAAACAAACAAAAAATGTACGAAAAACAAAAAAAAAGTATAAAAAAAAATTAAAAAAATTTGCAAATGTCACTTTTATGCCACCGTACATACCATATAAAGATTTTTGTTTGAATATGCCATAAATCACACATTGAAGTGTGAATATATATATATATATATATATATATATATATATATATATATATATATAAATTTGGAGAAAATAAACGTTCATACAGTGCTATTTATACTTTAGCACTGTATGAACGTTTATTTTCTCCAAATTTATTGTTATTTTTTCCACGTTCTTGTATCCTTCTTGGGATCCAGTGTTTTTGAAAGGTATTTTGTAGATGCAAATATTTTTCACAAACCTATATATATACATATATTTCTTAAATATATACATGTACCAAATTATATATATATTTACTCTTCCCTGGAGATACAGTTTATTAAGATCACAAGGGAAACACGAACGGACAGTTTATACATTTTCTGTAAATGTCAGACGTTATAGCAAGGTTTATCAAAAATGTGACATGACGCTGGACAAAACAAAACCATTATGCATAATGAAAATAAAGGATTTGGAAAGTGTGCTTTTTAGTTAAAAAAGTGAAAAGAAACAAAAAGAAACACAAAAGAAAGATAGAACATTCTTGCATATCAGACTGGCGTTTCCGTGAGATTTACTCATGCCGGAAATTTCATCTGGCATGGGGGGTTCCAGATGAGTCGCGTGCTGTACAATGGCACGATAAAGATGACGTCATTTAACCGTTATGAATGAAATTGTAATTCATACGCTGTTGTAAGAAAGTAGTTACGGTTGTAATGCTATAAATTTCCATTGAAATTAAAGATAAAGAATTTAAAATATAATGGAATATGGTAGAATATGCAAGAAAAAATATCTAACATACGTTTGCGGTTCGGATCGGAATATCCGTCCCTCGGTCACCCGCCCATAGGCGGTAACTCGGCAAGCCTCGTTACCGCCCAATGGGTGGGTCATCTCGGGACGGATATTACGATCCGAACCGCAAAATATGACAGGTATTATTAAACGGATGTTTTCTTTATGTAAATTATTTAAATGTCCTGTCTACAATGCAATTTTGCTACATTAACTTGTATTACAAGCTGGTAGAATACATTTGATACTGACAGAAGCCACCTTAGACAAACGTCGGCGTAGATCAAGCAACCGTAGCAACCAGTTGTTTTGAAAATAAAACATTGAATAAAAAAGAATGAATGAATACATGTAGAGAAAAATATAAAATGCAGAATACAAGCTGCAAAATCAAAATAACACAAACTCTAAATTATTGTGATATAAAATTCGTCCGTTCATTTTGCTATGAAATCTCATTACCCAAGTACATATACATGTATGTGGATTTGTTACACAGTAACTGTAAGTTCATGCAAATACATCACTATTGCAAGCTAGGTATCTTTTAAATTTATTTACAGAGATGCAAACATCTTCTTGTATTTTTCGGTAACTTCAACAACACCATCGTCACCAGAATGCTGATGTTGTCGTTGTAACTGCTGTTTGTATCCTTCAATGTCTGACATCAATTTGCGGAAGCTGTATTTTTTTCCAGGGCCGAGATCTACATATTCTTTGAATCCTTCAATGCCTGACATCAATTTGGCGAAGCCTTCAATTTCTGACATCAATTTGCCGAGGCCTTCATTTTCTGACATCAATTTGACCAAGTCGAATTCTTTTCCGAGGTCGAGATCTACATTATCTATGAATCCTCCACTGCCTGACACCAATTTGCCGAGGCCGGATTTTTGAAACAGTAGGTCAAGGAGTTCTAAATTACCAAAAAAATTTCTCAAATTTCGTTCAATTGTAGGTATTTGGATATCCCCATTATTTATACGTTTAACCAGTTCGTCAGAGGAATCCACTGATTTGTCAATTCCCGTGGCAGTTCGTATACATTCTTCATTTGTCATCCTACGTTCAATGCATATATTGATGAGAGGGGTTAGTAACGAGTTTTTTGCACAGTCATGGAAATAATCACATTTATCCCCTTCATACCCTGCGTTGCAGACACATGAAGTAACAGTGCCTCCTGGCCCACTGTATACGCAACGAGCGGTACCTCGCTCAGAGCAGAATGTTTCACAGGGTCCGTCATCTGAATAAGACATCCAATCAGTAAAAAACAAACTTTAAGTCATCTCAGACCTTTATGTACATATCATAGGCACTTGGTTTCGGGATAAAAACCCTTTTGTGAGGTGTGTAGACCTCAAATTTGATTGAATGTAACGGGTGTTTAAGGTATATGTCTCTTTTATAAAACCGTCATTTTTCCGATGTCACTGCGGGTTTTTAGTAACATTGGAAAATGACGGTTTTAGAAAATTTGAGTTCTACTAACCTCTCAAAAGGGTTTTTATCCCGAAACCAAGTGCCTATCTGATCTCAAAAAGTCTAAACCATCAGGAGCAACACCGTAATATATCAAATATATAAAAACAGCTTTAAAATCAATAAACATTTAGTTTTAATATAAACGTATGAATATAAACTACAAACTGTAAATAGGAAAATCCAAAGAATAAATTGAGACTGCAAATAAAGATGTACATTGTAGCACAAAAAAACTAAGTAAACAAAACTGTGGTCCGTGTTGTCTCCACTGAAGTTATAATGTAACAAATGACAGTGAGACGGATAGAGTTAAGATTTCTACTTACTATAGTTATCCTGGATGCAATTTATGTATTATAATCTTGTTTGTAAATATTGATGAAGAAATAAACATTGTTTAAACCAATACACTGAGTTTTCAACAAATCAAGCCAATCGGAACAGCTCGGCTATTATCATTTTTATCCGACGTTTGGCGGAAAGGGCTGAAATAAAGCATTTTGTTTGTAATTAGTGTACATGTGTACACATGTATCTGTTGTACATACCTTTATCACAATCCTTCCCACTGTACCAGTGATGTGTACACTTACAACTATAGTCGTCTCCTTCCTCTATGCAAGTGCCTTCATTTTTGCAAGGATTTGATGAGCAATGATCGTTGTCATCAGCTGTGATACATATATAATTATCGTATAAAAACGAAGGAAAAGACAGTATTTCAAATACTAATCCACGAATTTTGAGGGCGTATACATGTATATATTACACCTAAAGGGATGCATGTATCATGATATAGGATATATAATGAAAAGGATATAATGCGATATATTAGGGATATACATTATGTTTCATATAGACATGTTTATGCTTTTGGATGTATTGTGCATTATTGTGTAAGACATCCAAATGTTTCTCTTTTTTCAGATCTGATTTAACTTCAGATCCGCCATTTTGGAAATCATCCCTTCTTTCCTTTACCCGTTTTGTATTCGTTCTCGGTTTCCGACTATCAATCTTACGAACCTGGACTACAACTGAAATTAACGTATTCATTTTACTGACCAATGATATGTTTCATTAGATATATGCCTAAAATTTCCCTTTGAGGGAATAATCTACATTTGTAGTTATTTAGTTTCTATCAAAGCGAACTTATCGCGAAAGGAGCAATGGTTTCGACCAATCTGTAGTATGAAATTATCCATCAGACCTTAGAAGTTGACTTTTTGTCAAATGAAAGTTTATATTATTTTCATATGAAATCAATGGCAGCTATACTATTTATTGACTTTCTTTAAACATTCAATTTCAATTAATTTTTCATATCAATTCCTCCCCCCCCCCACCCCCAATGCACCCACCCCGTCCACCCGTTTGTTTTGTTTGTTTGTTTTTTCTTCAAGAAAAATAGAACAAGCAGTGTGTAAATACCACAAGAATTGGGTACATTGTATTTCTAAATAAATGTAATATGAATGCAGTAATATAAATATTACTCTGACGTTGGCGGGATCTCAGAATGCTGAGAGCATCTTCCAACCGATGTCTCATAAAAAGGTCCTCAATATCCGCTAAAGTAAATCCGCTATCACCCAGAAGGTTCAACAATTCCACGCCAGGACTTTCACTGTTCTCTATACGAAAGAAAATAAAATTAAGAAAATCATTGAGACCTTGATATTCCCAGTGGCATGTTGTGTCCTGTTGTGTCTGTCTCATTTAAGAAAGTAAAAGAATGTGGACCAATCGGCACTCCACAATAATTAAGTACACCCTTCTTTAATTAAGGTGACAACAGACACTTTCCGTGGTACTACAATAAATGCCATTCAAACCAACTAATTTAGTAATGATTGTTATTTATTTAAATCTTGTGCATTAAATGTCTTTGATCTTCATAAAAATAACATATTTAAAAAAAATGCCTTTGTAAATAATAAATTTTGAACAAAAATCCTATTATTTTATATCGTCCTATCAAAGTCATTTTTATTTTTTTGTCATCAAAAGTTTGGAATATAAGCATGATTATAATATCTAGGGAACCGTGTCTCAGATTATTTCTATCTTAACAACAACGAGTGACTACATGTAAAAGGCTAGATCTTAACCCGAAGTTTGACGGAAAGTGCATTGAAATTTATTTTAAAGCTTTCATGAATAGTTAAAACACAAATTTTAAAGGTTAGAAATATAATGTATTCTGAAAGTTATTGTTCATGTTCTATATTCTAGAAGGGAAATTAAAGGTGAATGTTAAAGAATATCATTATTATACCAATAGCTCTTAGCTGCCCCCAACTTATTTGAAGAGAATCATCCTTTAGAACAATGTACTTCCACCAGGAATCACGACCGTCATGGGTGTTTGGATCTTCTAAATGACGGCCAAGTTCATTGTATACACTCGCCTTCAGGTTAGAAATAGGAATTTCTAAATATAAAATATTATATTCGGATTTCAAACATAGATTTATCTTTTTCAAAATCCATAATTCTAAACAAAATGTATATTTTTACAGAATTTACGCATGCACGAACTAAAGAAAAACTATAGAAAAACTATATTCAGTATATTCTGTCAACCAATTAGAACTCGAGTGGAGCGTCTGTGTCTGTCTCTCAATTAAGGGGTCATGGGTTCGAGCCCTACTCGGGTCACGATCATGATTCTTCATGTGACACCAGTAAGGTAAGTTCCAAGAAGCAGACTAGAAAATGATAAATTAATAATAAAGTAGGTTACAAGAACTTGTTTCGCAATCTAGCTAAAATTAATAATTATGTTTAAACAAACCAATTAGAATCAAACAAATACATGTACATGTGTATATGTTATAGAGTTTTAAGTTGGAATTCATTATTTGACTCACGCAAACATATTTATTTTAACTCGATTGTGATGAATTCTATACATTTTAACCACTCTCGGCAAGTTTTATATAAGTGTCATATATATTACAACAAAAACACTTTAGAAAAAGAGGCTGTCCACTAATGGCATTTTATCATTCGGTTCTTTTCATCGTTTATGTCATGGAAAGAAACAACGAAATTTCTATGCAATATATCCTTTATCCAGATAAAATTGGAAGAGGCAATGTTAATAAAGAGTAAAGAAGTGTTGCGACATGTCGTATATATATTGAATCGTAATTCATTGCACATACTAGTATATAGCGACAAGATCCGAAATGATTGCGCCAGACAAATGTTGAATGATTTTTTTCCCGGAAAATTCGTAACTTTGTTCTGTATAATAAATAAACATTTGTATAATATAATTATAATTGTTATTATAAAATCTTACCAGCTACATCAGGATCCAACTGAGACTGATGGACACCTTCAATTTTAATTCTACTTAAGTCTATGTGCATCTCTGGAAAACAAAGAACATTTAGTGGCGTGAACGCAATTTAAATTAACAAAATCTTATCTTGTGCACTGTTGTTTTAAAGATTTTTTTTAAAGAATTACAACAAACTCCTTTCACCTGGCTTTTTCAATCGTTATGCGCAAATATTTAGCCGAATTTTTGCACACATAATGTTATTGGCCCTTATTGACGCACCAGTAAAAAAAACAAGAACTTTTTAATTAAGCGCCATTTTAGAATTTCTTGGGTTAAAAATCCAGCACTGGGTTGCTGATACCCATAAGAATTTCACGTGTTGAAAAAGGTAACGAGATTTTAAAACTAAGTTATCTTATTAAATACCACAATAGGTGATTGGTAAAACTTGGTTTGTTTAAACTTTAACATTTTTGGTAGATGGGTTTGTGTTGACCCTTTATCTGGTGAGTTCCGTATTAGCAGAATGTTCTTGTCCAAATTTCATTGGTAAAACGTTTAGGTTCGGCAAAATTGTCAGACGACATTTCTATTGGTAAATGTTTCCACGGTGCCCTGAGTTGTTTAAAATTTTATGGACCAGCATTTTTCAGGTCCCATGCCACTTCTGTTTCCTTTTCTTGTTCGATAATAGCTTTTTGTTTTCGGGGCTTTCCCTTTAGCTTTTTTGTAGAGGGGGTTGCCAACTAAAAACAGCTGACCCCTTAAAAAAGAAGTTGTATTTTGAAAATCAAACAACAAAAGAAAATAATTTTTGGTTTAATTTTTTTCCCCTTTTATTGATTTTTTTTACTTCCGTTTTTTATTTTTTTTGCCAAATTGTAGAAATTTTTAAAAAACTGTGGAGTGTTTTTATAATGGAATGGAAAATTGAAGCATATACTGTTTTTTGTAAGAAAGTTTTTGATTATATACAAGTAATTGTGGTGTTTCGTTTATAAAATTTTCATTTTTTGTCTTTTTCTGGGTTTTAAAAATTAGCCTGGGTTCAAAGGGGTTGGGTATTTTTTTTTTTTATATAAAAATGATTCGCGTATTTCATATCCGATGTATGATTAAACAAACCCATGCCTTTTGGTTTTTGATTAGTTGTTTGCGAACAGAAAGCACATAAAAATCGACAGAAATTTGGAAACCCAGGCTAGTTAAAAGTAGTGTATAAGAAATGGTTTTTAGAAAATCGTTTTATGAATCTAGTAAATAGGGTTTTTGAAGCTTGACTAATGTAGTTATGGGAAATAAACTATGAAATTAAAAAAGGGTTTTTGGCAACCCTTAAAAAATAAGGATGCTTTTCATAATGAAAATTTGTTTGAGGGTGGGTTTTGTCCCGTATAATAAAAGGCGAAATCGAAATTAAAGTTTAATATTTTTTAGGGTAATAATTTATCAGCTGTATGTCTAAGCTTTTTACTTCTATATTAACCAATAGAGTTGAAATATTTTGATATTTTGTTATTTCTGATTGCCAATAGAAAGGGGAGATCAACTGTTGATGCAATTTTTATTCTACATTCTGTAATACAACATTATTTAAATGATAATAAACGTTTATATGTAGGGTTTATTGATTTAAAATCTTGTTCTGATAGCATTTGTAGAAATTCATTATGGATGAAATTGTATAAGTGTTGCGTACAAAGAAATTTTAAGAATCATTAAAAATATGTATGAAAAAGTAAAATCATGTGTAAGATGTTGTAACACCTATTCAGGTTTTTTCCAGTATGCTGTAGGCCTACGTCAAGGGGAGGTAGCTTCGCCATTAATTGTCTCCCTATTCGTAGAAGACCTCGAATTATATTTACAAGATAACTTAAAGGGACTCAACTGAGGTTTTTTGACATGATGGGACTGAAAATATTTTTTCCAGATAAATGTACCATTTGATGTAGGTTTAGACAACTAATCTTTGTGCAAAATTTCAGAGAATTCGCGCATTTCATTTTTCCAGAATAATTATTCAGATTGTAAAAAATGATCCAAAATGAAAAGCGTTTAAACGGACTAAGGAAAGCATAAAAATACGATTTTCAATTTATTTCAAAGTATATTTCTTAACCATCTTTGTATATATTTCTCTTTAAAGTACCCCGGCTCATTTAAGTAAGAAATTCAAATGTTATGTTTTTAGGCTTTTAAACCTCATTGGAGTCCCTTTAAACTCAGGATTATTGATTGATGATATTGTTTTGATTTTATTGCTTTTTCTATTTTGACCATATCTACCCGTTTGTACTCTTAGTGTATGTGCTTTATGTGATGTAAAATCTTAGATCCTTAGATAATAATTTAAGATAGTTTTCGTATGAATATAATTCTTTACAATTTTTATATAGTTCTAAAACATAATTATTTTCTACAGATAAACATCGTCTTCAAAATAAAACAAACCAGCGCTTATCTTAACCCAAATAATTATTTTTTTCTATTACTTTAACAAATTTCTTGATAATTGATTTATAATAAAATGAAATACCTCCGCTAAATCTCCCTTTTTTAGTGTTTGAGGACTCAGGACTTATTACCAAAGATATGTTCTACACAATAATCATTTATAGTTACATTTGAAGTGTCATTCATTGATATCCATGTAGAAGTAGTAGACCACTTTAACTACCCAGCTATACAGGTATTTTTTCTCTTAATAATGAACATTTAACTGGTAAGGCTTTAAAAGCAATGAACACATTATTGATAATTTGTAAAGACATAGATTTTAAACCCAAATTATTATGCCAATTATTTGATTCTTTTGTAGACTCAATCATATCATATACATTTGAAGTATAGGGTTACAGCAAATCAAAAGATATTGAACGTAATCGCTTGAAATATTGTAAAAGAATTTTAAATGTTAGAATGATGGTATATACGGTGAACTCGGTCGTTATCCATTGTATATAAATCGATACGTAAGAATAATTAAGTTTTGGTGCAAATTGATAAATACTGACAATAAAATTTTAAGGAAAACATATGAATTAAGTTTATCTGATTGATATAAAGGTAAACAAACTGGGTATCAAATGTTAAAGAAATGCTAGATACAAACTTCCCGAACACCCCTCGTATATGGTTTATCCGAATACTTTTTTGAAAATAATATCGTAGATAGTAAATTATTTCCAAAATTATTTAAACAAAGAGTTATTGATAATTATATACAAAATAATGGCATTCATCTGTAGAAAATAATTCTGTTTTAGAACTGTATAAAAAATGTAAAGAATTAAATTCATACGAAAACTATCTTAAATTTAATCAATCCAAGGATCTTAGATTTTACATCACAAGAATTAGAATGTCTGCACATACACTAAGAGTACAAACAGGTAGATATGGTCAAAATAGAATCCCAAGGAGTGAAAGATATTGTTCATGTTGTAATATTTTGGATTTAGAAGACGAATACTATTTTGATTTGATATGCCCATGCTATATGTTGACATAAGGAAAAACATGTGAAGCGATATTATTACAAAAGACCATCAATGTGTAAATCTATTGAACTGATTTCTTCTAATAATAAAATTGTACTTACTAATCTAGCTAAATATTTGAGAGAATCGATTAAAATCAGGAACATTATTGTAAGTACTAACATCTGAGTTTTGATATTGTGTTACAAATTTATACTAAAAATTCAATTGATTTGTTGTATCAAATATGTTTACACTCTGCTTAACAAATTGTTTTATAGGACTAGTGGTAATATTATTATTACTATTATTATACTATTATTATTAATAACATTATTGTTCATTCTCCAGCTTAACATGAAATTCAATATTATATATTTAATCCTATACTATTTGTTAAAAAGAAACGTGACATCTTTACAATTTGTGTATCTATATTGTAGTGATGATGTACTATGTACAAATCCAAAATAAAATTCTGTTCTGTTCTGTTCTTGTGTCGCAAAAATAATTATTGTAATTTTATACAACATGAGTTTAATAACAATCTATAGCTGATGAGTTTTACAGATTGTTGTTTTACCAATTTCATTTTCAGTAAGCAATAACAATAAGGCAGGCGTTTCTAATATATGATTTAATAAGTTTATTACACAATCTTGTACTGAAAGAATATGTTGAATAAGTGACTGGAACGAAAGTTAGACAATTCTACGGAATTATTCAGGCCAAATTATTCAGAAGTATCATTGCGAACTAATGCAGTGATTTTAGTTATCTTACTAACAATAAAACCCAAATAACTATATAAATCTACATAAAATAAAAAAATTTTTTAAGAAAAATCATACAATCATACCTTCTTTGGTATTCCAAAACGAAATTTGAAATCGAAAGTGGTTTTTTCATTATTACTAATATAAAGTTATTTATAAACTTTTGAAATTATTATTGGAATACTGTCATAGGTACATTGTATGGAAGCCCTGGAGGGACATTTGAAATTAATATTTAAAATTTAAAACTTATTATTTAATTCTTATTATTTAAAATTTAGGTCTTAATATTTAAAAAATAAGATCAGAATACATAAGACATGGGTATTTGAATTCAACGGTCTCTTGCAAAGGTTGTTACACGAAGAAAAACTGGCAAATTCGATGTAGCTGCTTTCAGGTAATTGCAATTTTTTATATAAACAATAAACATTCCGCAAACTATTATATCTCGATTGTAATATTTTTCATGCTAACAGTTGATACGATTAAGATATGTTAATTTTATCAAAGACGTCAGATACTGTGCCGCTTTACATTTTATTGATTACATGGTGTCAAAAGCAGCGGTTGAGAAAGTTTATCAATACATTTTGTTCTGGTTGAAGCGTAAAAACTGACAGAAATATACCTGCTTGTCAGGGGTTTTAATGTTTAGTTGTTGGTGGTGGATAACAATATTGTTACGCTATTGAGACACGGACGTCAGTCGATCACAATTGGTAGTTCGAGCCTTGGATTCTGAACTTGGGTAATAATGGACAATATCTGTTATGGGTAGCTATCTTGATCAGCTTCCAGCTGTTGGTTTCCTTTTAAAACCCTAATTCTTGTGATAATTCATGTGATGCAATCGAAAAAACCAAGACTTGTGATAAAACTTAAAACTTCAATTTATTCATTTAATAAACACATATATCGTTTCTCTTTCAACAGTCAATCGCAATTATATTTTATGCAAGAACAACTTATGTCAACAATACATCACTATTATTCCATTACAAAACAGTCACTTTCTCTCTCTGACTTGATTACATTCAACAAAGTCACAAATTCAGACATATAAGGCAGATAAACTTAAATAACCATTCAGTACTGTCAGTAAGCCTTGTAAAACTGCTACTATTAATCAATAAAATTATCAGCTTAAAATTACTTAAAATATTACTTATCAAAATGTTAATTATATGTAAAGACTTGTAGAAAATATTCACCAAAATAAGTTAAAGTACCTTAAAGATTGTTGTTTCTCAAACAAAATTTATACTTGTACTAAGCAAGTTGTTTTGCGTGTCCTCGAAAATGAGCTCACAGCAGTTTATATACTACTCAGACTTCACACAAAAAAGTGTGGAAGTTCACATTTCACAACTTGTGAAGTTTGCCAACTTCACATAAAATCATGTGAACCCAGCTTCACATAAAATAATGTGGAACTGTGAAGCTCACAGTCACTGGAAACAAATGAGAATTTTATTATTAAAATTAAAAAAATATATATATATATTTTATATAGGAAATACTTGTATTTCATAATCCGTGAATGTTAATATATATATATAGAAATCTTTATAAACTTTATTAATTTTTAATGAAATTTAATATAACGTAACGTAACAATGTATGTTTCCCGCCATCTCGGACGTTGACGTCATGTGACGTCTCTTCCTGTTTATTCACTTCCTGTTTATTCACTGACGAAGAACATATTTGTTCGAAATCGATAAACGCGATAAACTTTCGTGTTTTCACCATCGTACTGTCGCGTTTTCACCATCGTAGTTTCGTGATTTCGCGTTTTCATCATCGTACTGTCGAGTATCGCGTTTCAGATCAAACCATTCATAGGCGATGGCCCTAACGGCATTCCGGAATGCCGTTAGGGCCATCGCCTATGAATGTGTTAATCTGAAACGCGAAAGTCGATAGTACGATGGTGAAAACACGAAATCACGAAACTACGATGGTGAAAACACGATAGTACGATGATGAAAACGCGATAGTACGATGATGAAAACGCGATAGTACGATGATGAAAACACGACAGTACGATGGTGAAAACGCGAAAGTACGATGATGAAAACACGACAGAACGATGATGAAAACGCGATAGTACGATGGTGAAAACGCGATAGTACGATGATGAAAACACGACAGTACGATGATGAAAACTCGAAATCACGAAATGACGATGGTGAAAACGCGACAGTACAGTGGTGAAAACACGATTTCATCATCGTAGTATCGTACTGTCGCGTTTTCATCATCGTACTTTCGCGTTTTCATCATCGTACTTTCGCATTTTCACCATCGTAGTTTCGTGATTTCGCGTTTTCACCATCGTACTATCGACTATCACGTTTCAGATCAACACATTCATAGGCAATGGCCCTAACGGCATTCCGTAAACTGCAGGCATTTAAAAGCACACTACTACAACCTATAAGACTGGTAATGTAAATTTCCAATGTAAATCAATGATCATACTAGTAGGATGATGGTGGTCCTAAACACTCGTCTTAAAATCAAGGTTTTTTATTTAAGATTTACAGTACCTAAATCCCCAAGGGCAACATGTCCAGCCTGCAAGATTGTAATGCTTATTTAACAGTAGACGCTGTGAACTGCATCAGAAATGGACTAGTCATTGAAGGTATAAAAAGACACCTAAATGTGACCATGACCTTTGAGCATGGGTCTTACGTGTCACACACCTTGTCATGGCGGTGAACAATTGTACCAAGTTAATATATATTCCCCTCTATATTCTGACCTATAACCCCTACAATCTGGGACGGATTGTCTTTTGCAAAATAAATGAATAAACCCGTCCAAGCCAGTCCTCACCATGAAATTAAGTGCGTGTCCTAGTGTGATTCAAAACATTTTTTTCTTGTATATAAAGTCCAACTTACTTTACTTCCTTCGCAACTCGTATTCTCGCTGTCGTTACTTGTGGCGTCAATCTGTCAACGGAATGGTTTCCCGCGACCATTTTAATGATAAGATTTAAGTACAGTGTATTAAATATTAAAAATTCAATTTTGAATATTAAGAATTAAATTTTAAATAATAAGTTTTAAATATTAATTTAAAATGTCCCTCTAGGGCTTCCATAGTAATTGGCCTGCAATAAGTAACTTTTTGGAAAACTATAACAAGAGATCAAAAATAAAAAGCTTTTGAGAAATAAAATGGGGCATAATCATGGAGCTAAATATAATATTATAATATATATTGTTTATATGTCTGTGGCATAATGTAGGCCTACGTACCTGTAAATTTTGAGACGGCGGGCTTTCGTCAAAAATCGTTTTAAAAAGCAATATTGTATTGTTACTTGCAGAAATAATAGTTTCTCTATAAATTTCATCTTCTGCAGAGCTACATTTATCCAGGGTCTTTCAAATAGACTTTTATTATATACTTATAAATGAAATATTGAGAAATATTGATGAAATAAAATGCGTATTTTCATTTTCCTTATTTTCTCTGTAAAAATTTATTTTTCACTGCAGTGAAACATATTTTCCGTATTTTCACTGGTGTCTTGTCGGACTACTTTCTTTTAAATTCTGCCAGTACGGGAAAGTCTTTCAAATTTTAATGTCAAAAAAGAGAAAAATGTATCTAATAAACAAAAAAATTCAAATTTTTTCTATAAATGCATGATTAATTTTCATCTTGTGGCATGAAAATTACCATAATTCACTCGTGGCTACCGCCACTCATGAAATATTTATTTTGATACCACTCGATGAAAATAAATAATGTATTTATAGAAAAAACTTAAATATCCTCTATTTATTATATATTCATGAATGAAATATTGAAAAATATTGATGAAATGAAATGCATATTTTCATTTTCCGTATTTTCCCCATAAAAATTTCTTTTTTCACTGCAGTGAAACAGATTTTCCGTATTTTCACTGGTGTCTCGCCGGACTACTTTCTTTTAAATTCTGCCAGTACACAAATTTTAAGGGAAAGTCTTTCAAATTTTATTGCAAAAAAAGAGAAAAATGTATATAATAAACAGAAAATTCAAGTTTTTTCTATAAATACATGAATTATTTTCATCTTGTGGCATGGAAATTACCATATTTCACTCGTGGCTACCGCCACTCATGAAATATTTATTTTCATACCACTCGATAAAAATAAATCATGTATTTATAGAAAAAACTTGAATATCCTCTATTTATTTGAAATACGTCTCTGGCAAAGGAATTGCAAGGAAAGTCAAAGACATCACGAATTGCCCATTTGTGGTGAATTTACATAAACTGGTCATCGTATCGATTTATTCAGGGAATAGACATATACACATACAATGTTATCACAAATATCAACTTGCATATATATAAAAACACACACATAAATGCAACAAAAATAATTACAAAATTGATTAATGAGTATGTTCTATGTAAACCTAGGATTGCCCATTAAGCTAAAAGCTCATTTCCAATGGGATCCATTTACTGTAAAAATATTAGACTAACTACCGTAATAGTAAATAAATTATAAAGAAGTTAAAATAAATGACATGGTCATTTCTAAAGTATTATAATGTTATTAGATCTATATTCAATAACCATCTGCGGATGTTTCTAAATTCAAAATTTTACTATTTCACGTTTAAATGTTGAATTCTGCTTAAGCCGGTGCTAGGGGGCGTGGACGGTAACCTGCACTTTCCAGTACCGTCCATGAACAGTCTCAATCAAACCGAGCCTGCAACATTTTCAATTTTGCCGTGTTGGGCTTTCTTTAGGGATTCTGTATTTATATATTTGAAGATCTCTTTAGTCTGTAGATAAGAAAGAGAACTCGTTTAACTTTCTGCACTGCAAGTAACTTTCGAATGACTTGCCTCCCCTGTTTTATTATCTATTTTTAGCACAGGTATTTTCCAAATGACGTCACGTACCATAATAAAACAATGCGTGCGCATGGGTGCACATGAGAAAATCCCACACAGTTCAATCAGTTGTGTGTAAGCGTGTGGTTAGAAAACAACCTGATGGATTTGTACAATGATATTGGATATATTTTGTTTATTATTCCTTCCACTGTTGGATTATAATGAGCAGTGATAGCATCGTTGAAAATTGGCTTAAATCTTTGGATTTAGCGAAATACACGCAGCAATTTCTAGACAATGGTTACGATGATTTAGAAATTTGTAAACAAGTCGGGGATCCGGATTTGGATGCCATTGGAGTGGAATCAAGCGATGACAGGTTGCGGTTACTGGATGCTGTTAAAACTTTGAAGGAAAAGGGAGGTACGGCCGTGTATCTCACGTTGGAAGATGATGACCAAGATATCCCTAAACAAACCCCAGTTCGACCCACATTAGATAACTTGGTAACGGATGTCCCTCCTCCTTCACCTAGTCCAGCGCAGGGCACGGGCAATGAACAAGCCGGTCAGTTTCAAGGACCGAGTGACATCGTCGTTTACCCAAAATTACAGCTCACTTTAGTGTTGAGAGACAAATTACAAGATGATAGGATTGATTTGGCCAGTCCGCCATACACAGCACAGGTAAGTTATCACGTCGTGCACGGTTAATTTGCACGTGCAGCTATATGGTGACTCAATCGACGTTTGGTATTGAAGACAAGTGTAACATAAATTTTATTGCAATGTTGCTTGAAACATTACTGGCATTAGTGCAAGCTAAGAATGTTATGCTTTTATTTCATTTAGAAGATGCCATAAACAAGATAAAAGCAAAAAATCAATTATAAAAAAACAATAGGTGGACAGTAGATATAAGTACATCATGTTATCAGGTACATTTAAATGTAGACTACATTTTGGCTATTTGAAATTTGATGAAAATGATTTTATTGAATAGTATAAATAAAACTTGGACTTGCTGTCACTGGATGATATTAGAAAAGCTTTATCATGATACAGACAAAAATCAAGGTGATAGGGGAAAATTAACTGTTTTTTTTATCATTATTATGTTACCTTCCTGCTGCCCTGCACTGCCTCAGCAGCTGAGTAATAAATAAAATTGATTGTATATTAAAGTATGAAAAATACTTCTAAGAAATAAGATTTACGGCTAAGGACGGAAATCATCACTTCAAACTTATAGGTCTAAACCTGCTGAAACCATTGAGCAGGTATAGAGGCTGAGCCAGGTCAGCTTGCATGCACATTTTTTAATTGTTATTCAAGCTACAAAAACATATTTTTTTTTGGATGGAATGGATGAAAGAAAACGGGTGGAGGATTTTTTATTTCTCCAGAAATAAAGAAGGGGGTATAAACTTTTTCGATAGGAAAATTGGGCTGAATTTCTGCCCCAAATTGGACCTAAAAATCACTGATAATGTTTAAGGCAGAAAATTAATTGTGCTTAATCAATTATACTTCAAGTATAATAAATTTTTCAAGGTTTGTGTATTGACTGATTTTTCAATTTTATTATCTGCCATTAAAGTTATAAATGTTCCAGCTTAATTGGGTTGTAAGTGGCCAAAGGATAAATTTTTCCCATTAACCACTTGAGCAGGATTGAATTATCTACCTCTTATATCATGACTATTGTTAAATGATGACATTAAGGGAAAAAGGTCATAATTTGGCAACATTTTATAGTATGGGAAAGGTCATTCAAGTAATTTACACCTGACAAAATGATTAAAACATTCAGCTATATCCAAAATAAATGTGCTTTCTCCAAAGTGTAGAGACTGTAGTGGTATTTATAGTACAGCATTTTTAAACAAATTAGAAAATGTTTCATTACATAAAGATTTTCTCAAGTGTTATACATTGTATGTACCATTAGGTATATTTTTCTTTACATGATTATGAAACCATTAGATTTAGTGTAAAAAGGAACTTTATACTTAGACTGGTGGTTATACCATTGCTACAAATGCAGACCAAAATGTGCAGTCTGATCATAGTCTGCACTGTTCCCTATTCTCTAAGTAAATAGTTTTGAAGTTTTGCTGAAAACGATTAAATGGTTTTTTCTGTTATTGAATGATGGACAAGTCCATTTAAGATATTTAAGCATGGAAATGGTCTAACAAAAACATCCATAACCAGTTCATAGATGAATAAATTAAGTCACAAATGGCAGATTGCATCCCCCCAGTGGGATATAGTCCAGGTCCACCTAATTACTAAAAGTAAATTTAAAAAAAAAAGACCCTGAAAATTTGTAATTAATCAAGCAGATTTTGACTCAATATTGTTTTGGGGGCGGAGAGATGGAATTTTACAAGCAATACATCAGACTGTGTTACAAGACTTGTCCAAGAGTCTCAGGAATAAAATACACAAAGATTTATAGTAAAATGGTAGTTGCTGAAGCATGAAGATAAACGAAAATTATTCACCAGCAAAAGATCATAAATTGTTTTTTGCAGTGAAAGTGGAAATCAATACTACAAATGTATTATATAGTCCTTCAGGATTCTACAGCTACAGGCAGTAGTTGAGCCCTGGTATAACAGTATGGATGTTATTCTTCAATTAATTGAGATAGAAATCATTTTTTCAAGATCAATAGTATAGAGTCTGTATCTGTTAAATTTTGTCTGAGGCTCCACATACTAGTTCATTAACAGTCCCAGTTAGGCTGTAGCTCAGGGTAAAATCCCTAGCAACATGCAACAGGTCACCTTGTATTTTACATTTCGTTTCAGGATATGTTTCGTTTAAATGTTAATACATTCTTTTCTGGATGCCACTTGTAAACTAAACTTGAAAACAAAATCACTCATTACATGGCTAAGCTTAGCTACTTTCACATATAATCATTTGATGCTTCCAGTGCTACGACACTTGTTTTAGAATGGATAGGTCCTACGACCTAGGTTTGAGTGGTATAACACTAGTTACTTCCTTGATTTGCTTGAGCAAGTAACTTAGATTGATTAATTTCACCTGCACTGAGTGGGATTTGAAATATTTGCCAGGGAGATCAATAAAGTCTATCATGACCAGTGAAAGACTGAAAGTGACACATACATGACACCAAGGCTATAAAAAGTTTACCTGTTGATTACAATGACTTATCTTTATTTCTTATCTTGACTTTTACCTAAAAATTTACCTATCCTTAAAGTTCCAAAATATTACAATAAAAATTGTCATGTACATTTTTTAATTGTGAATAATATAACCAAATATGGATCATGATAACATAAAACAAAACACGTTTACCTGAGTTATACATCAAATTATCGATTATGTAACCCTTTTATACAATGTAAATACTGCTGTGCATTTATGATTATTTGACTGTCATTTAGAATTTGTTAACTTTAATTTATTGAGAAAATATTATGTCATCATTTTATACATAGTAAATATAATTTACTAAGAACTGTATGTGAAATGTAGGGGAACAATGTAACTGCACTTTTTTCTTATTGTGCAAAAAATCTACAATACACACATTCAGTAAATAATCTTTGCACTGTCATTGATTGTGGAATAATTTTTTTATCATCTATTTACTTTCTTTATAATGCCGTTATTTAAATGTTAATCTTGACGTCTTTTTCTGTGCCATAAAAATGTCTGGATTTTTTTTCTTTCACAACATAAATTAAAAACAGTAGTTAATAAAACTTGTGGGAACCTGCATTGTTGACCGAGGTTGTTTACTTTGGGATTTAGCTTACGAAGAAACAAACAAAAGAACACAATAAATTTAATAAAATGTAGACTTTTTCTGAAAACGGTCTGACATTTGAAGTGTTTGGCTAACTGAATGAATGTAATGAATTATAGGTAAGGACAATGATGCAAGTAGTTAAACACCCTTCAGTTGGTATTTGAAGACAATACTTGAAAGAGTTTACTTTTATTCCCAGTGTAAACTGTGAATGATTTGTAAGAGTGTTTAGTGTTAAGGACCTAGTATAGTGCTACTTGTCCACTTGATGTAGCTCTAACGTGTTTGTCCAGTAGTCTAAGTTCTGTAATTGTTGATTTAGATTGTATATTATCACAATCATTGGTATTGACCAGTCACCTAAGATTTAGCTGGACTTTAGTCTTTCTGAAATAATATGTATCTTATTATAAGATTCTTATAATCTGTGTAAAAAAAAAATTAACCCTTCTTTTATTGCTATGAAATTAAGGTTAATTTTAATATATATGATAATTATTGATGTACATTTTAATATATCAAACAAAAAGTAACTTTCTTGCCACAAACATTTAAAAGGTCAAGAATTAGTGACTATCATAAATATTATTATCATGATTAAATATTTGAAATTCAATGCATAAGATAAATTAAATATTGAAATTCAATGCATAAGATAAATTACCCCTTCCCCGTAACCCCCAAAACCAATACAGTTAGTTTTGAGTATTGATTTTATAAAAATAAGATATAGTTAAAAAAATAACTTTTATACTCTTATATTAATTTAAATTCTGATATTGATACTGATAATATTATCAATTGACCTCATTGTCCAGCTACACAGATTATCATAATAGCCGGATAGATTATAAGGTTATGGGAGTGTGTATAATAGATTATCTTGTACCAATAGCACCTGACTGACAGGGACAAGATACTGACATGATAATTGCTTTACCTGCTGGGCAACCAATTTACTTTTGATACCTTATGGTACTACCTTTCACAACAAATGTAATGGGAAAAGCTATTTTGCTTATTATGATTATTTTCAAGATGATTTCAGTTTCACTACTTTCTTTCATTATAAACATTCAGGTTTCTTGCAATTTAAGTTGAATGAAGGTATTATGAAGGGTTTAAAGATTTGCTCAATATTATATACAATAAAGAGGTTGCAATAATTTATTTTTTCTTTGACATAAACTGCTTTTCAGTAATATTCATTTTTCTATAATAGTATTGTATATACATTCAAAAAGATTTACTCTATTTTCAAATTTCTGGTTTCAAAGCAGGTTAAGTACGGTAATAGAAAGAGCATCAAACAAGGCTATCTGATTTGTAGGAGGGCCCCTTTGCTTTGGTCAAGTGCAAAAGCCATCCCCGCCCCCTATTAAAAGTTCAATATTCACTAACTGGCCACTATGATAGCCTTCAGTATAGGGGGCGGGAATGGCTTTTGCACTTGACCAAAGTGGCAAAACTAATTATCATCACTAATTAAATGTATTTTACCTATCACAAAAGCATGTACATGTATAGTGTATTCTATCAGATATAATTACTATGCACCATGTGTATAATTGTTTTGATAATTGATACACATGTTGTCCAATTAGCCATGCCTGTTACAGTACATCCCCTGGGGGGGTTCAAATCCCCGACCAGCCAGTTTGTATTTACAGTAGTAGCTGATAATGTAGATAATGGGTGAAGATTTGAAGATAGGACAGATAAAGTTGCTAATGACTAAAGGAATCATGTTACTAATGATTCAATAGAGATAACAGAGATAGCTGAAGGTGTTATAATCATAACTTCTATTAAGATCATAATAATAGTCCTTCTATATCGGGCTTAATGGTTATTGCATTAATTGAATATTGTTATCAGTGCATTGATGAAT